ACCTTTCTTCCTCTCCCGGCTGGAGGAGGACCCAGCAACGAAATCCTCTGACGCATAACCGTCGGCGGCGCCCGAACCGGCTGAGGGGTGGTCCGGCGTGTCCGCCGGCGATTCATGAGCGACCCCGTTCTGCGGCGTCGCATTTCCACTACCGCCGCCGCCTCCCATATAATGGGTCAGGTTACCCATACTGGCACTCTTCCGGATCGACCCGTCAGTCAATCGGACCCCGAAAAGCTTAACCCCACGATTCGGACAGGTCCGAGAATTGTGCCCGTTATGGCTGCAATGCGAGCACCTTCTCGTCATTGCACCCACGCACACACAATCAACAACAGCTGCAGATAAAGAGGGTTCGAGAAAATCACGGCCAAATTAACCGGGTTGTGTTTAATCGGATTCGAATCCTCGGGCAAGATCCGAGAGAAAAAGGGGATTTGTTTGATGGGTTGAATACAGTGCCGTGTCTTCTTGGACAACAATTTTTCTTTTCTTTTTTTTTTTTGTCTCTCTAAGGCCCAGCTGCAGAGAGTGGTGGCTGGTGGGATACAGATAGAGATATAGAGAGAGGAAAAAATTGGGGAAAGAGATGGGAATTGAAGGGGAAGAAGTCGATGAAAGGTATCACAAATTGCGTGTAGACTGATATGGGTGAGGTTTGTTGCGGTTTATGAGATATGATGAATGTGTATAGATTGAAGCTAAGGCCACAACAAGAATACAAGATAAAATTGGTAAATCCCAAGTAAATCCCCATCCCCATCCCCATCCCCATCCCCACTATGTATAATTTCCGAATTTGCTGAACGTGGCAAACTCTCATGCTTCGAAATTTTATTTGACAAAAAATCATGTTTTGGAGTTAGGCTTAAATATAAACTAATATTTGTATTAATTATATTTTAATATAACCATTGAATTGTAAATATATTTTAAAAGTTGATAACTTTTGTATTTCTTATCGGTTTTATATATATAATATATCAAATTAATCATCTTTTGATGAGTTTCGATTTGACATCCATATTGTATATATAAAATAAATAAAATATAATTATCTTTATAATAATAAAATTATTTATTAACATTAATTAGCAAATAAACAATTAATATATTTATGCTTAATGTAGTTATAAGTTATAAGGTAGAAAATTTATTATAATTTGACAATTTAATTAAAACCAAAAGTAATATTTTATATAAAGTTAAATTATTTTAGTTTTTAAAAAAATAAAAAAAATTAATATTTCTTACAAAATCTTTCTAACTCAACACCCGTGTAATACACGGGTATTGTACTAGTATATATTATTCTTCAATCATTTTGTAGTTAAGTGTAGGTGTGGAAAGATGATGTAATCATAATTTGCTTTGCATAGTCATGTTAGCTATTAGATAATTGATTGTATTAGCCGATTGTCATAGATAATTTTTACTAAAGATTATGGACTTGTTTGGATAGCTACCTTTTTCGGTAAAGAGTTAACGTCAATTTTGAAAAAATTAAATTTAAAAACGTTTTGAAAAGAGGTATTTGTAAGTAGCATGTCAATATAAAATTTTAAATTAATTATACAAAGTATTGTTTACCAAGTAGTTATTTGTAAACGCTGACAATTTGTTAGTCAAATCATCTATTATAATCACCTAATACAATTAACAGTTATCCACTATCCACAATCAGTTAATAGCCAAACAAGGTTAAAGTATTAGCGGTTTGTAAAGTGAGTGTTTGGTAAATAGCATTTCGTATGATTGTTTTATAATTCATGACCTATTATTTTATGAATTCTATCTACCCAAACTTTTTTCCCAATATGCTATTTAAGATAGCGGATTTGGCGGATCATATCGCTAAATAAGGTTCAACATTCTAATTTTATATTGATTCGTTGACATCCAAATGAGTTCATAAGTTCTAGAAAAATACTATTGCATGCTTTTTTTAACACAGTCTTATGATAACGTACTATCTAGTAACTCATAATTAGAGTTGTTAATTATATGAGTCGCTCGTAAATTCAGCTCGGCTCTAAACTAAGAATTTATATATAATTTTTCATAACTTGGTTCACTAATACTCCGACTCAGCTCACAAATATTGATAAAATTAACTGTGTTCGAGTATGTTTACCTATTCGTTTTGACTACTTAGAACCATTCATGATTTATTCTGTATTAAAAGAATTACTAATTAGTAAAAAAATTTGAAGTGGGCTATTTCTAAAAATAATAATCTATATTAACATATTTGTGTGTTTACATTGATATTAAAAGGTTATCATTAGTTTACTTGCGATTGAAAACAGTTATGCATATTGTGAGCTATTTTGACCAGCGGTTAGCTGCTAGCTGATTGTAACAGCTGTTTTGACCAGCGGATAGCTGTCAGCTATTGTAACAATCGTGAGCTACTTGCGATTGAAAATTATCTTGATATAAATATACATTGGTTATATTTGTTTAATTGTTTTATATTAACAAAAATATTATTGATATAATATGTATTTTCAAATTATTTGTTAATATTTTTTATAGTAAAAGTAATAAGTAAAAATAATGCTTACAAAAATTAATGACATGTAATATTCTATTGTTATAAAAAATGGAAAAATGTTATCGTCTCGTTACGGAACCATTCCGTTGGGATTTGTAATCGTTAGATGCACATGTACATCTAATATACATGTGCATCTAACGGTTGCAAATTTCAACGAAATGGTTCCATAACGGTACTGTAGCCTTATTCATAAAAAATGACTATATAAAAGAATCTCATATGTTGTGTTGTGTTATGTTAAAATATGGAGCATCCACACCACACTAAATGCTATTGTTTTGTTGATTTTTTTAATATTAAAAAAAACAAAATGGAGTTTAAAAAATGGAGCATCCACACCACACTGAATGCTATTGGTTTGGTGATTTTTTAATATTAAAAAATACAGACCGTCATCCACTCTCATTAGTTAAGACAGAAGTAAAAAAAAATGAAAAATTTATCTAATCCACAAGTTGTTGCAAAACGCTCATAATTGTAGCATTTTCAATTTTAGCTTATTCACCCAATCAACCAAAGCAAAAAGCCATTGAACCAAATACTAATTTTAGGTGTTTTGACCAAATTAAAAAATTAAGGGGGCGATTGTATACAAATTATACAGTAAAAAAATCAATCAAAACTCAAATTTAACTCAATTCCACTATCTCCAATATTATCAATATAATTAAATAATATCAACTAATCATTCTTACACATCACATCAACTTTAATTCAGTATTCATCTACTCACATAATTTTAACTAACTATCACTTGCAATAATTTTCTCCTACTTTTACATCAAATCAACTTTAATTATTTTATTTTAAATATTATTTTAATATATCCACTAACAACTAACCGTACCACATTTTTTCAAATTTAACTATAGTTAAAAAATAACCAATTTTTTACTAATTGAATTCATATCCAATCACCCCCTAAACTCCCTACAAAAGCTAAATTCTTGTCAGAAAAAACAAACAAGGCCTTAGGGAGTGATTGTATACAAATTGTATAGTAATAAAACCAATCAAAATTCAAATTTAACTCAATTTTAACTCAACTCCACTATCTCCAATATTATCAATATAATTAAATAATATCAACTCATCATTCTTACACATCACATCAACTTTAATTCACTATTCATCTACTCACATAATTTTAACTAACTATCACTTCCAATTATTTTTTCCTACTTTTACATCAGATCAACTTTAATTATTTTATTTTAAATATTATTTTAATATATTCACTAACAACTAACCATACCACTTTTTTTCAAACTTAATTATAATTAAAAAATAATTAATTTTTTACTAACTGAATTAATATCCAATAACCCCTAGAATTTGGAGATTTAATTACACTATAACATCACTAACTTTTGGAATTTTGAGTTTTAACCACACTTTCACATTGATCTGGTGAACCCGAAATTTCTCATAATATTATGTATTTTCATTTATTACTCAATTTTTATTTATTTGTTATCATGAGCTCTGGTTGACGATCGAAACACACAATCAGAATTTTCGATATTTTTTCTTTTCTAAACAAATATTTTTTATAAAAATCCAACAATAAAATTTCTCATCTCATTTTGGCATACAATATAGCTGTAGGTGTGAAATCCATGGATATGATACGTAACAGTGATTTTGATACCCCATTTGTGGGGATACAAATAATTGACCAAAATCAAAGCCTAACAAAAGTACAAAACAAGAACAACTATAATTTATCCTTCATTTCAAGGGTAATGGTGCTTTACACAGTCTATTTTACTGGTCCACTTCTTTCTTAAATTCCATATCTTTTATTTATGATCACCCAATTTCATATACAATGTCTCAAATTAAAAAATATAATATTTGAATATAGACACATATCTCATGTACATGTGGCGAATAATAGTATTTCTGTTTTATATTTTAAAACTAATACAATACCGGTGTACTACACGGGTACTTAAAATATGTTAATATTTGTACAATAAAAATTTAAATAATTTATATTTTATTGTGAAATTATGTTATCCGCATTGGCGCATAAGCTTACATATATGATGAATATGCAATAATAATAAATAACTAACAAAGTGATAATTAATTAAAAAAGCGCCCATATTTTTACATTAAATTTACCAAAACATATATTTTCAATTATATTTTAAAATTATACATGTATAAAATTGATATTATTTAAAATTTCATATATTTGATTTATTTTTTTTAACAAAACAAGTTTTATTGTATTGTGATTATATTTTATATTTATAGAGTTAGTGTAACACGTATATTAAGTTTTTGAGTATTTTAAGTTCATATAATTAATAATTTATAATTTACGTAGAAAAGTATTATTTTCTAACTTTATGAAATACAAAGTTATTTTATTATATTTACTTATGATGTTATTTTATATTTAATATTTTAAATAACATAATAACATTTATTTTCTATATAATCTATTTAAATTGAGAAATAATATTTATATTATTTCTTAAAATTTATTTATGTAATACTTAATATTTTTTATCCAAAATTTATGCAAAAAGATAATAAAATAATTATTTTATGGTGTACTAATGAATTAGATTTTTATTATTTTATAAAATAATTTATATTGTTATATGACGTTTTTTTTAAATTGAGTTGATAATAAAATTGATTTTATTTATAAATATAGATAAAATTATTTTTTATTTTATATATGCAATATGGATGTCAAATCGAAAATCGTTAAAATATGATTATTTTGGTAGATCATATTAAAAAAATAAAATACAAATAAAAAAATTATAAAATTTAAAAAATAAAAAGAATACATATTTATAATAATTAATATAATGCATTAAATAAAAAAGGTAATATTAGTATAAGGTAACTTAAGGAAAAAAGAAAGTTAAAATAGCTTATGGTAACTCTCAAGCCTAATAGTCAAACTCAAACCTGAACATGTGT